CTCTAGTAATAAGTAGCATTGGATTTAGGAATTAAAGCTATGGAAGTTGAAGTAAAAAATTTAGGGATGGGAGAACCCCCAAAAAAATTAACCACAACATTAATAAGGTCTTCTTTAATTATTAACCAAGATTTTTGAATGAACTTGTTAGTAAAACCATCAGGACCGGCAACAGTGTTGAAATTCATATCTTTCAAAGTATTCCAAATTTTCTCTTTAGTAGGAATTTATTCCACATCGTATTATCTTCATTAGAAACAAGAGTGAGAATAAAGTAAAATTTAGTATTTAACTCAGGACAAAAATTGCTATTAAAAATCTTTTCAAAATAAAGAGCACCCGAAGAAGAGATCTGATCCGGGTCTTCAATCTCATTACCATCAGGGGTCGTGATCTTGTGAATAGTCCTACTGATTTTATTATGATTAGCAAGGTTATGTAAATAAGAAGTGTTACGATCTCCTTCCACAAGAAATTTGGAGGAAGCTTTTTGCCTCCAAAAAGCTTCCTCTTTTTGTTGAAGTTTAAACAAATTGGTTTTGGCAGTATTAAGAGTAGACATATTATTAATAGTGGAGTACGCATATAAGCCAGATCAGCATTTTCCACCTCAGTTTCAGCAAGCTTAATATTTGCAAAATTATTTTTAAAGATGCATTTATTCCACCACGTAAGTTTTTATTTAAGCCTTTTAAGTTTGAACCAAAATCTAGTCATACCACAAACATTGTCGCAGGGGAAAAGAGGTGCTTCCCAGTTACTCTTCATAATATTATCGAAGTTATCATCAAGGAGCCACATATTTTGAAATCTAAAAGGTTGAAAAGTACTGTTGCTAGTGTTATACATATTAATTAAAAGAGGAGAGTGATCAGATAAAGTTCTAGCTAAATGCTCAATGTGGGTATTTTGAAAGGAAGAAATCCATTGATCATTAAAGAGGATACGATCCAATCTTTGCCACATAGTACCCTTATTCCAAGTAAAACCATTACCCGAGAAACCAATGTCATGCAAATTGCAACTTAAAATCATATCGTTGAAATCCTCCATAGCATGAAAATTAGTAGGTTTACCACCAATTCTTTCATAACCATTAGTAATACAATTAAAATCCCCACCAACCATCCAAGGAGCATTAACGGTGGAAGCAAAAGCAGTAAGTTGGTCCCAAAGAACTTTTCTCCCAAATCTATTACAAGAAGTGTATATAAAAGAAGCATAGCAAGAGACTTGATTAAAAGTAACATTAGCATAAACTAATTGAGGTAAATCTATAAGAACATCTAAAGAAATAAAACGTTTCCAAAAAAATCCATATTTTCTTAGTGCAATTAGCAAAAGCCAAATCAAAAACCAAAATCTTATAGACAGAATCCAATTTAGTGGAGGAAACAAATGGCTCAAGCAAAACAAGAAGTTGAATATCATTCATCCTACAAGGATTCTTAACTCTATCGTTAGATAAAGAATCACCCACCCCCCTAATATTCCAAATTAGAGCTTTAACCATTAATAATAATATGAGATGCTCTAGTGGCCCTAGGGATATTGTTGGGCGTAACCTTTTTATTCTTGCCTTTCTTTTTGATCTAAGTTATGAAATCTTCCTCCAACTTCTTAGCCTTATTACTAGGAGATGACACAGAGTTAATAGTAAAGTCCTTTAAACCATCCATAGGTATGAAAATGTCAATAGATCCAATTTCTCCTTCCTCCATAACATCAATGTTTTCATCCACATCCTTAGAATTTGGCTCATGTTCACTATCATTTTTCCCACCATTAACTTGAAGAGGAGCTAAATTAGTAGGAACATTGTTTAGGGATTGAAGATCCCTATTGTCCTCCTCCAACAAAGAATTAACAATCAGAATATTAGTTGTAGGATCATCTCCCTTCAGTATTATGAGTATGTTCCTCATCACCATCAGCATCAGCACACATAGTAAATTGCATTCCATCTTTCATTTTTTTTTTCAACAAATTTTCATTTCGATTAGAGATGTCTAAAGGATTAGACTCTGTGTCATTTTCCATAGCGTAAGGCTTCGTAACAAGAGGATCTAGATTATTTTTCCCTGAAAGAATAGGACTTTAAAGCACATTTGTTTCTCCAACATTAGGAGCAGCCATGGCTTTAGAAATCAAATTATTCTTTTTCAATTGGGGATGAGCTACAAAATAGTCATGTAAAGCATGCCCATGAATTTTGCAATGCAAACAAAAATCTAGAACTTTTTCAAAATCAACTTTTTGTAAGTACCCAAAATTTTCAGAGCCTATCCATATGTCTTTAGGGTGTTTCTTAGTGATATCTAGTTCCACAAGAACCCTAACAACAGAGGGTCTTGACCGGTTAGCCGTGGCTTGGTCAGTTTGCAGAGGGCGGCCAAATATGGATCCTAATGATTAAAAAAATGCAATCATAAATTAGGGAACGAGATCCATATATGAACAATGAGAGATTCTTCTTTGACATCAAAAAATGAAGTCCATTTGAGTAACCTCATTTGACAATTAAGGATATAATAAGTTCTCCTAGAAAACACTCTACTATAATCAAGATCATTCGATAACTGTATGGAAACATGTCTAGCATCAAGCAAGCCAATGGAGTAAATTTCTAATCGCATCCAGATTTGGTCGCCTAACAGCAAACTTCCCAACCAAGGTAAATTGATACGGGCTAGCAAGTTTTATAATGTCATCTTCCGACATCAAGAGCGTCGGAACACCTTTAACAATAGATTTGGTGAAAGAGATTACCAGAAGATTGGAAGAAGAAGGTCTTGCTAAAACATCTTGGAAAGATCGAGATGTTGAAGAAGAAACAACATATCCAACCAAACGTTTCAACGAGACAGCCGTAGTTGATGGCGGAGCACCCCACTCACCAGGAATCGGAGAGGTCGTACCCTTCTCCATTAGGAGAAGAGAACAACCAAAGGCCATAGCAGATCGAGCAACCAGGACGTAGCACAGCGATCAAGGGCCGAGAGCGAAAGGAAGATCGACAGGAAGCCAGCAAAAGATTCCCTTGGAGATGCCAGAGCTCAGAAAAAACCCCAGCGCGAGATGATGTCCGATGGAGGCGAAGTTTTTTGATATATATAAGAGGTGGATTTACGCTCGGGGTCGTGGGGGCACGGGCCCCAGCTGGCTGTAGTTAATACTTAATTAAATTAATTTATGACTCTTTAATTACGGCCTAATGTAAATTATTAATATTAAAATTTTCTTTTCTTCATATATGCTCAATCCCGCCCAACTTTTTCACGCACGCACGGACACGGACAAGGCGGAAGGGCTTTTCTTTGACGAGCTCGCGTACTGAAGACAAAATCTCCATCTTATTTCTTTTTCAAAAGCCCACACAGCCACACTTCACCTTCTCATGTCGGTGGTTGGCGATGATTTCTCTCTCCCTCTCTCTCTCTCTCTCTCTCTCTCTCTCTCTCTCTCTCCCCCCCCCCCCCGGGTACTCTACAAGCTACAGCAAATGTGCAGATTTGAAAGTAAGAAAAAATGTTTGATATGAAATACAAAGTTTCTTCTTATTCCCTAATATGCTAGTACTTTATGCGTTAAGTGGCTATTAGCATACCGTGTCGTTTAGTAATTGGTTATAAAGTTAAATATGGGGTTAATTTTTAATGGAAAAGTTATAGGTACTTCAATTAATTAAATGTACCATATGTAATTTCCTTAGGATGATTTCGATTTTGCAATAGTTTGTTCATCAGTGGTATTGTGAAATAGTTTTAAAACAAATTGCTCGAATTCATTCTAAAAAAATATAAATTTGTCATGATATTTTGTTGTTTGATGTCAAAATTTTGGTTACATTAAATTTTTTTTATAAATAAAGTAATAGATTGGATTCCTGAATGCTTTCTTAGGGGGAGATCGGAGTACAATAATCAACTCCCGGATTGAAATTGAACTACAAAAAGAGATAAAAAATCCAACGATATTTGGTGGTCGGGCGGAAATCCTACTTCTAATGATGGTCGAGCAGAAATCCGGTGTTAGTTGGTTGTCGGGCAAAAATCCGATTATTTTAATTTTTGAAGTTCCAACTTGAATTTTGCCTCGAGATGCATGCCCGATCAAGATTATTTTTTGATGATATATCCATTATATATTTTATATGTTTATATTGAGTCTAGTGATTTAACAAAAAAAATTGTCTATATCGGTCACAAGCCCGAATAAAAGAGGTTTGAGAATTTTTTTCTTAAACTTAATAATTTGTGCCCCCACATGAAGAAATTTATTTATTTATTTTTAGAGAGCTTGACGCTGGGACGTCGCTACGTTCTAGACCAGAATATATATATATATATATATATATTCATATTTTCAAGTTATTACTGGCAGTCACAATAGTTCGAGCTGAGAGCTCCCTAGGCGAGGGTGAGTCGTAATGATAGTTGTCTTCCTTCAACGAGGTGACTGGCAAGTTGCTGGGTTGATGAGATCCTCTATTGTCCCATGAGGGGTGCCTTTCTTCGCAGGCTCGGATAAGTATTGGACGATGTTCCTTGGATGAGTTCTTCTATGGAACCCACTAGATGCGAGTCTTCTCCTCTAACCCATTGACTCTTCCAGAAACCTGTGAAGATATATTCAAAGGTACATGCAAATATACGCTTTATCATATAATTTGGACTTTAAATTGTTGTTCTTTTTTCACGCAAGCCTTCATACCTTGGCTTGTGATTTACGATTATGCGCACCCTCCCATGCAAGCCAGGCTCTTCAATTCCTCCTTATAATCCGCTCTTTTAAAACCCCTACGTGCTTCGTCGAAGCCATCTGTTAATCAAAGATGACACACAGTCAAAAGCTTTCTCCGTTTGTTATGGGGCTCCGCTCCCAATAACCGGACAGCTCATATCTAAACTTCTAGTTGCAAATTTCTATTGCTTATAAAATGCTGGCCTCCATATTACCAATTGACATACTTAGTTCACCGGAAATCTCAAGCAGAGACAATGGCGCCCCGTATTTCAGCTTCTGTAATTACTCTCCTAATAATACTAGCTTCCAGCACAGCAGCCGAGGAAGCCCAACTCCACAGCTACGAAACAGCCGATTTCATCAGCACCAGCAAGGTGCAGTCGAACACCAAGCAACTGGCAAAAGCCGCAGTTTCCGTCAGCCTGGCGCACGCCAAGAGCGCGCTAGCGGCGGTCTCGAGCTTAGCGGAGAGCGCCATAGCGCTGAAGCAGGGCGAGACCGTGGTTCTCAGTGACTGCGGGACGATGCTGGGGGACTCGGTGCAGAAACTCCAGAAGTCAGAGAAGGAGCTAGGAGGCTCGGCTAAGGACAGGGAAGATGCGAGTGAACGGGTGCAGAACGCGCTGACGTGGGTGAGCACGGCGCTGACGGACGAGAATATGTGCGCCGATGAGCTTGGCGGGGTGGATTTGGCGGGGAAGAGGGACACGGTTAGGGGACGGGTGGTCAAAGCGGCGAAGCACACTAGTAATGCATTGGCGCTCGTTAGTAATCTGGCTTCATCTATTGGAAAATCTCCATGAATTTCGAGCTGTTAATTACTTGATAGTTGATGGCTTTTATGTATTGCGCTCGTCTGAAGTTGTTTGTTTTTGTGGGCTTGTAATCTAGCTTTTGTTCAGAGTCTGAGTTGGTCGATTGTATCCGTATTATATGAATTATGCTGTGCGAAAGCCATCATATGGATAATTTAAGTTTTCTTTGTTTATATATTTTGCTGGATTTTAATTTGTTCATGGGCAACTTCCAACTTTATTTGATGATTTATGAGAAAAATGGAGGAACAAAGAAAGATGAAGAAGAGGATCGAGGACGCCAAGAAAGCTCTGTGATTTCTTTATTACTTGAAAGTAAAGAGATCGAGATGATCAATTGTGTTCTTAGCTTGCCCTTTGACCCCATAATTATAGATGGAGGTAGAGACAATGCTCTATAAGAATTTTACATTAAAGATAAATAAATAAATCATAAAATCAAGTAGGGCTATCAAAATCGGGTCACGGGTAGGGTTCGAGTTCAACCTAGAATTGTCTGGCACTGTTCAACCCGACCCGCTTCGGGTCCGAGTCAACCTGAACCCGACTCTCTTCGGGTATGTTTTACTAAATTTTTTTTATTTAATTCGAGTTATTTAAATCTAAATCAAATTATGATAAGATTTACTTCAATCAATTTAAAATAAACCCAGCTTAATTCAGTTTGGGTAACATGATTTATTATTTTTTTGAAAGAGCATTTGCTTATTTCATAACAATATTTTAAAACCCACCTAAATTCATTAAAAATGGGTCAAACCGGGTTGATTCAGGTTTCCGAGTCAACCCGAACCAGACCGGTTTTACAAATGGGTCGAAATCCCTAACTTTTTTTTTTTTTGTTAAAACCCACAGAGGGCCTACGTGTTAATTTCCAAAATTCGGTTACAGTCCTTAGAAGGATTCTCCAGCTCGCTAATGCTCAAAAGAGCTACAATAAAATTAGAAAGAAAACCTAAGAGCCGGTGGTTCCTTTTTCTAAGATTACAAGAAAGACATAAACCCGATTTGGGTTGACCAGAACATGAAATTTTCAGGTTGGATTCTGATCGGATTTTCAAGTCGTGTCAAATAATGACACCCCTAAAATCAAGCCTTTTGAAGACTTGCCATAAAATTAAGATATTATGATTATATACATTTAATTACATTTGATACATATTTAGAATATTCAAATAAGGGCTAAACCCGCATTTAATTACTGGTAAACTTTGCATGTGTTGGTTGAGTTTTGGTGAGTAGTCATATATGTGGCTTTGGATAAGCGTGCCTAGTAGACATGTGGGATTGTGTAGGTTATGGAGTTCATTATGATTTCGATAAGTTCAATATATGATTATTATGAGTTCATGAGTATATTTAAGCGTATATTTAATTTTTTTTTTTTTTTTTTTATATCTTTGAAAGTGACTTGTAAAAAAAATAAAAAATAGATAATCATTATCCCAATGATAGTCGAAGAATTTAGGTAAATTTACTATGTTGATGAATAAATGGATGTAAGGTCTATTTAGGATGACTACTACTTTTTTAAAGGGGTTGTAAAGCTATTATAGAGCAATTAACTTTTTAAAATCTGCTATAAAAAATAACTGCCTAGCACAAATATTTTTTTAAAACTAGTGAAAAATCAGTGGTCAAACAAAAATTGTGGTTGCAATATGAAAAATAAATCAATATATCCAAATGAAACCGAACAGCTTTCTTATAGCTTTGCTTTCCAGACCGCAACCACAATTTTTGTTTAGCCGCTGCTTTTTCAAATTTGTAAAGAAATTTTTATGTTAGGAAGCTGCTTTCAACTACAGCATTCAAAAAATATATTTTTATAGCAACTTTATAACCACTTATATAAAAAGTTGCAGCTGTGTCAAACAAAACTTTTAATGTCCATATCAATCACCGAGGGGGGCACGTGCCCCTTTTAAAAAAAATGCTTATTTACCCAAATTTGTTCGGTTCAACTCATGCCTCCGCTCTTCCCTTGCGACCTCGACCACAAATGCAGACATGCTCGCCTCTTGCACATGTGCAGAGACAGATGCACGACTAATCTCGGCTCGACCTCTTCCGTCTCACCACTTTTGTGTGCGTAAACTGAATGTCCGACTCCTCTCTCTTTGCTTGCATTTAGAAGAAACTACCTCTTCCTCTCTCAGCTTGCTTTGAGTTTTCAGACCGAACTTCCAGGTAAATGGTAATGAAAATGTTTTTTGTTGCTTATCAAACAACCTAAAGCATATTATTTTTTTGTCTTCTAATTTTTAATGGTTTGGCTTATCATATGTTGCTTGCAAAGTTACAATGGGATAACATATGACACTACAGGAAATTCATTCAATACCAGTGGTGTTTTTGGCGGTCAGATGATCGCTGCTAAAACGCGGCAATTATACCGACAGTAAAATGTAGCAGTTATACCTGCGGTTTAACCACCGAAAAATACCAGGGGTACTTGACTGTCAAAAACGCCGCCAAAAAGTTTTATCTACGACATTTTTGCTGGTAGCCCTAGCATCTATTTTAAGTGACAAATTTTTGGCGGTTTAAGCAGTCTGAAATGTCACCGGTTTTTTTCCTAATATCCCAACCTGGCGTCCCCTTCTTCCTCATTTCAATGCCTTATTTTGTTTCGTTCTATCTGTCCAGAGAATGTCCGCTGCAGTCCAATCGACCTTCCGCCCAAGCCTAGCCGATGCCGGCCTTCATCTCCATCTCCTTAGCCGAAGATGATCTCCTCCCCTTCCTTGTTCTTCCTTACTCTGATTATTCTATGGCAGCTTTTAATGTGACTTGGTATAAAATTTGTTATCCTTCCTCATCATTCATCTACGATTCTAATATGATAGATTCAAATGAAGATTTTACGAAGGTAAAAATAAAACAAAAAAATTTCAAAAATTAATAACTTTTGACACGTAGAGTTGGTAGGGCTCAAACTTCTAATTTGTTTATTAATGATTAGTGCTCTAGTTTGGAATATTAGATGTGTGGGTTCTATATCTTTCAAATATCATGTGAAAAATATTTGTAGAATTAATAAATTATTCCTCTTGTTTTATTGCAACCTTTTTTAGATGCTAATAAACTTTTTTCTACTTGTAACAACTTTGTTTCTATTTTGGTTTGAATAATTGCTCTAAAAATTAATTTTGGATCTTCTAGAATAATCCGATCAAGGTCAATATCATGAGGAATTTTCCCTAAGCGATGCATAATCAAATTGTTTTTTTTTTTCAATTTCATTGTAATTATTCTTATAGTTATGCTTCTTGTAGTAGATTTGGAAAGAATGAATTTGTGACAACAATTACACAATTATTCTTTTTCTTGTAATAGCCCCTATTGTGTTTGGGGTGATTTTAATATGATTGCTTCTTCTTCTGAGAGACTTGGTGGTTATGCTCCAAACTCTTATTTTATGAATATTTTAACAATACTATTCTTGATGGAAATTTAGACCACATTGGGTTTTTTGGTTCTTGTTACACTTGAATAGAAAAACCTTACGGTAGAGACTTGATTGTATCATTTTTAATAACAATTAGATTTCTGAGTACCCCATCGATCACTTATGTGGTAGAATATTCACTTCCTAAATATTTTTGGGCTGAGGCGGTTAGTACTGTATGTTATGTTCTAAATAGGGTAAATGTAAGATCTAAATTGAATAAAACACCCTATGAGTTGCTAAAAGGGAGAACACCTAATTTGTCTCATTTGTATGTTTTTGGGAGCATGTGAGTAAAACCCTCTTCGATCATTCTCCCATTATGTTGAACATTGCTCTTAAAAATCCTAATTTTTAAGGATCTTTCAAATATCAAGATATGTGGATTTTTGGATAATTATTTTCCTAAGGATGTTGATCTTAATTGGAATGCCTTGATTTATACTGATAAAAATATTATTAGTATGCATAAACTGTGGATCAAACTGAAAAGACATAAGTAGATGCTTAATTGGTAGAATCAGATCATTTTTAAAAATCTCTTTTCTAATATTAAAGAGGCGGAAAGTAATGTTTCCAATATTGATGCCTTGTACCAATTTTATCCCTCTCTGGATAATCTTATTCACTTTCAGGAAGCTGAATGTTATCTTTTTAAACTTCAAGATCAAGAAATCCTTTGGAACAAAAATCTATTGCTAAACTTCTTTTGGATGGTGATAAAAACACAAAGTATTTTCGTGCTTTGATAAATAAAAAAGATACTTTCAACTATGGGGATGTTTTTACTAATGATAATCAAATTTGGCGCTTTAGTGAGGAGCATTTTAAAAATATCTTTAATAAAAAAATTCCCTTACTCCTATCACTCAATCTCACCTCATTATTAAGAGGATTATGCACTCTTATGTGTATCTCAATGATCTACCTTTCTTATAAGCATTCCCTACATTAACCATTAATCCCCCCTTAAATGAAAACTTTTTAATGACATCCAGTGACACACAACAATAGCCCATTCAATCACATGAAGTTTGTATGCTAGTCACCAATTCTTGAACATTTTTAAACACGGTAGAGGCCAATAATACCCAAGAAAACCTAAAAAAGTGTTATGGATATAGAATTGTAAACATGTCTTATTAAAGAATTGTAAATATGAATATAGTATGTTCGTTATACAAGTTTTTAATATTTGAGATTTTTTATTGAGTAATTAAAAAAAAAATAATTTATCAATTCAAAATTTTGTTTTGATATATAAAAATAGTGCTTTAGTTCAATTAAAGTTTCAAAATATTGTTAGACATGATCTCTAGTAATTTGATTAATTTCTAAAAAATGTGAAGTTTTGCTCTAAGGCCTTTTTTCCATCGTTAAGGCATTTTGGTAAGGTCTAAATCTAATGTAATGCATTGAAATATGTGGATATTTAATGAAATGTGAATATCTATTGGCAAAGAGAAGGAATTCTATTAACTATTAAATATAAAATTGGCTGCTATAAGATATTCTATTAACTTATATATATATATATATATATATATATATATATAATTTGAGCATAAAGGGTTATTCTAATTCTTGAGCCAGATGGTTATTCTAAAATGCACTAAAATGGGATTATGTTGTTGGAGAGAAGTGATTCTGTTGGCTACGAGAAAGAATTATGCTAACCATTT